TTAATACTAAAAAAGACAATAGAAATTGCTTTTTATTTTTGTACCTTCACATCAAATACCGTTTAATTCATCTACTTTTAAAATAAAAAAGAAAACTCCAATAACCAAAAATTCATCCACTTTTTCATAAAATGTACCTACACCTATTTCATATTAATTTCCATTTTTCTTTAAGAGGGTTGAATATAATAATAAGAAACAATAAACGTTGATTATATTAAGAGTAACGTATAATTGGTGATTGCACTCACTACGTAATATGTCTATTATGTACCCATTTTTAGTGACTAATGAAAGGTAACACGGTCAGCTCGATATCATGCAGCGATCTTTTTGATTATGAAATAATAATGTGGTCTATGGCGATATTGGAACAAAGTAGCAGCCGGTGGTCATTTAGGGATCTAGAAAGCCTGCAGGTCATTCGTCTATCCTGTCGCGTTCTGTTATATTATTATTCAAATTTAGTTCTTTTAATTATTAACAATCGGACATGTGCTGAAGACTAACGGCTAATTTAATGTGAACTTCTTTGAGACTATTGCAGTATATTGTACGATTACAGGTCCGTAACGAATTAATATGTTTGGGGGGAAAGGGCGCAACCGATTTTTAATTTTCCAACTGATGTTTTACACACACACGCGCGCAAAAATATGCATTTGTAAATAAAAAATAATTATCAAAGATTAATATTAAATCAACTTAATTTCATTCCACTACAGATTACTTCAAATTAATAAGAAAAAAAAATTTTGTTGCTCTCGCCGGGAATCGAACCCAAAAGACATTCTTAATACAGTAAGTTAATATTATTAGCTTAGTCGAATTCGTCTGTGTTTATGTTTCGTTCATAAATTCACCATATTGTTTAGATCAGTAGCATCCCAAAGATCTTTTTCGCTTTTTGTCATCTTTGGGCATCATATCTCTCCTCTTTAATGATGGACCTGGTCGAATATTTTAATTTATATTTAGCAGCTACGATAATGATGCCTTACATGAAACAGCACATATCAAATAGTGTCTCTAACGCGTTTAAAGCTGTTATGACCTAGCCATATATATGATCAGGCGGATACAGCAGAGTCAATTTTTCAATACATATTTTCACTTGTGATATTATTTTTGTCTAAAAGGTTTTGTGAAAATATTTGGATTGGATTCAAACGTTTTACATTTATTTTGCGTTTACCTTGTAAAAAATTTGTAATTTTATCTTAAACGCTTACAAAATCTTTTCTATAAAATATATTTGTATCAAAGCTAGCTGCGTATAGGATTCACAGTTATCAGTTTCTTCCGGAATTATTTGTTTTCGGTGAATTTTGGCACTTCCTATTCCTATACAGTTTCCTGTTGCCTTATTGAAATAAGGGATTTTCTGGTTTTATTAATAATGAATAGTGCGCCTACAATGTTCAAGTCTTCCCTTCCTTGGTATTTTTGCGAACAGATTTATAAATTATCCCTTCAAGTCGCTATTGATTTAGCACTATATGCGATCTAATGCTTCTAGGAACTGACCAAAATTCCGATTTCTTGATGATACTGTAATGCTAATTTCTGCTACCTGCAGGTTCAGTAGACACCTAACTAAGGACCGATATTACTTTTATGGTCCCATGGCCTTTTCTTATTTTATTACAACCCGTATCCATGAATGATCTTCGAGTTCATGAAGCAGTTTTACCTACACGCATTTTGACATGAAATTATGAAAGAAGTCTATTTTTACCATATTTCCTAATTATCGAACGAAAATTAAAGAACCGGCACCAAAAGACCAAATTGTAATTTTATTGGAATATTCTTAAATCCTAATTTCTTCTGGCGATTCAGAAGCAAATGAATCCAAAATGAGTTTTTGTGATTCACTCCTTAACCGTATCTACAATTGTCCATTGTGTACATAACCTCGCAAACTAAACATTCATTAGTGGGGCATTAATTTTTATTGTTTTGCGGAACCTTTGAATGATCCTGAAACTTCGGGGTTCCCCGGAACGCAATTTAAAAAACTTTGACTATCTATGACAACTTTCCAGTACTATACAATTAGTTATTTTTTGCAATTGGCTACTTAAAAGGTTTAGGAAATTGTTCTATGTCCCTGAATGAAAATTTTGATGAGATTCCTCTATTATATATCTACAAAACTCCATAATCCTATGTTTGATATTTAAAAGCTCCCACGCACATTATTTATGCCCGCAAATTTATGATACAAAATATGTACGTATCCGAAAAAAAAAACTCGAAGATAAATTTATGCTACTAAACTGCTATTGATCTTCCGGTATTAAAAAATATGAGCGAAGGGAATAAATTAAGAACGGCGAATGATTTTATTTTAGAAGCTTACGTCATGAAACAGTGCGAACAGCACAAGCAGCACAGCAGAAACGGAGAACCCCGTATATGTTTGTAAGCCCGTATAATTTTGTCTGCTACTGCATACACACCATCACAAGTCCATCAGACTTCACAAAGAAGCAGATGTTATTTTCTCTGGGAACTGTTTATATGTGTGCGTGTGTTGTAAGGGACCGGAGGAAGACATGTGCACGTAATCTGGTACACTTTTAACACACATTCAGCTATGCTACGCATACAATGGGTGCGTAAGCTACCATTTCAAAATATGACAACTTGCATATTTACCATCATGTTTCGCGATTTTTCCTGTATGGAAGCTACAGTAGGTAGGTACTTACCTACAGATAATAAACAAAAAGATTCGCGTAAAGGCAAGTCAAGAAACAACAAATTAATAACCGATGTCAGCA